GAGTGGGCGGGGTTTCAGAGCTGACAGTGGACACGCCCCCAGCATTTGAGAGCAGAGAATACTGCTTATTGAGATTTTGATAACTTAGTTTATTTACTTGCCTTTTTTTTTTTAATCATTCAAATTTGGCTGGGTGGTTAATAACACATTTTTCTGTGGTGTGACAAACTCAGAACACATATTTAATATTAATACAGCTTCTCAAAGAACAGGGTCATTTTCTGGTCTAATTTGTTAAGTTAGGGACTCGTGCACAGGGGAATTTGACAAACAAAAGAAAACCTCCGTACTGCGTTTAAATTTAGCAGCTGCACTTCTGCTGAAGTTCTGGCAAAAGTCTCGGCGCACTTCCTGTTCGCTCACAAAGGAGACACAAACCAGCTGAAAATCACACACACACACAATAAACCACGTGAACTGAGCAAACAATTTGAACATAAACAGCTTTGAACATCAACAAATCTGATGACAAAAGAGAACACGAACAATGAAACTGTAACAGAAACTGAATCAAAATAACACAGTTACAGGGATAGTTCTCCCAAAAAGGACAATTCTGTCATCAATGTATGTAATTGACACCTGTATGTTTGACATGAATTATGTCAAACGGCATTTTCAGCAAGAATCAGACCTTTTTTGCTTTCATAATATGGAAAAGAGCAGTTTGAACTTCTGATACATATCTAATTTTGTGTTTCACAAGAAAGAAAGACATACAAGTTCGCAACGACGTGAGGGTGAGTAAATAATGACAGTATTTTCATTTCTAGATTAACTTTTCTTTAAAATTCTCCCATGCACTACATGCCGTTCCACACTGAAAAACAGACAGAGATGCTCAAACTGGCCTGAATACCTGAATTATGGATGTAAAAACAGAACAGAGACTTTGACAGATTGACAACACAGATGCATCCATCTAAGTAGCTTCTACTGACTCTAATCACGATGGCTGTCGGCCCTAATCTCTGCCATGCCAATTAGCAGCATGCCAGCTGCTAATAAACACTCGCAAAGCTGTCGTGTAAGTATTTTACTACACATACATTGTGAGTGACAAGGCAGAATTTTTGGACTACATCTCAATGTTTGCTCAAGTTACTCTCCACTCTCCACATGAGTTTCACGTTTCTCCACAGCCGCCTAGCTGTGGGCACCAACAATATTATGTCTGAAAGCTACATCTGAATCTGAATGCAAAGGGCTGTTATGACTGGAAAGGTTTGTTAGACTCAGTGAAAACTTATCTACCCTTCTGATGGATGTCTAAAAATAATTCAACCGCTAGACCACCAGATGCTCCGTCCTCATGTATTCTGACACTGTTTGCCGAGCTTTAATGTGGGAAGAGATTGTAGCGAAAGGAATAAAGGAAAAGACTGCGTTCCCAAAGATCACATTGCACATTAGAAATCAAAACATGAGGCTTAAAGTTCAGAAAACATCCCATTAGTCAGTCAAAAGTACTGTAGTGGCAGAGTGATGATATCAGATGGTAACAGCGTGGTATTTTGATATACTGTACATATATTACCATGGTACTTAATGAATTGCCATGGTCAAAGAGCAACAACATGGTCAAAAACAAGGTAACATCATCATAGGACATTGATAAACACCATTGTGCTGAATGACTACCATATTTACCATGGTATTCACATGCTACTTAATGCTATTATAAAGAATACCATGGTACAACTGCTCATAAACATAGTACATTCATCATGTCCAATAAAACATAGTAATATCATGGTACCTTTAGTAGGCCTACTTTTTTGTTAGTGTCTCAATTTATTACGGTTCTATGGTACAAACATGAAATTAAATGACTTTTTAACATATATATATCAAATAAAAGGCTTTGAAACCATCTTCACTCAGAAATTGCTAGTAAATTTCACACATAATTGCAAAGAAGCACATTATTTTAAGGCAAAAAGACTGAAACAGTATTTTCTTGTAAAACTTCTAAAAGTCATTTTTTACAGTATACCAAACTATTTCCATGCAGTGACAACCAAAATCAAGCAATACCATGGTATTCACAAGCGACTTTACCATAATACCATGGTACAACTGTCCATAGTACTTCCAGCATATCATGTCTAATAAAATACAGTAATACCATGGTATCTTGATAATTCGTTGTTAGTGTTACTACAGTGCCAAGCTAATTACATGCAGTGATAAGCAGTGTTGGGGGTAATATATTACAAGTAACGCGAGTTACGTAATCAGATTACTTTTTTCAAGTAGCTAGTAAAGTAATGCATTACTTTTTAATTTACAAGAGAATATCGGAGTTACTTTTTCAAATAAGTAACGCAAGTTACTTTTTTTCCCCAATTTATTGATTGACGGCTCTCCTGTCCCCATGCTGAGAGAAATCAGAAGATGTTACTGTATTGTACTGCGTTAATTCATCTCACTCACAAAAAAAACAAAAAACACACAGATTCAGTATTCCTCAAAATGAATAAAAATAATGCAACTCAGAATATGACGCAAACCTGCAATAATTAAATGTTAAACAACACAAATATATTTTATGTATTTAATCCCATTCTATTAAGCAATGTCTTTGCTTCTGACCTTCGATGATCCAGTTCAACCGTACTAATAAGCACAAATTACTCTATATGCACATTTGTGTGTCTTTGTTTATTGCTGAAGTGTGTTGAAATGTCTTCTTCTGCATTCTACTGTACGGACGTACATTTACTTTCCCTTCAGCCTGAGGCTTATTCATTTCACTTTTGGTGTGAAAAGGCTTTTATATTTGCCAAAAATATAACTTTTTTTATTTTAAAAACAAACAAGCAAGCCCTGTCCAGATTTTAAAAGTAACGCAAAAGTAACGTAACGCATTACTTTCCATAAAAAGTAACTAAGTACTGCGATTAGTTACTTTTTTATGGAGTAGCGCAATATTGTAATGCATTACTTTTAAAAGTAACTTTTCCCAACACTGGTGATAAGGTACATCAAGGAATACCATGGTATTTTGTCTTACCTGCCCTCACAGCGCAGCGGTGACACGTGGAGTCGGTGTCAGTTTTGGAGGTTTTTGAGCTGTTTTCCACCCTGATCATTCCCGCGAACATCATGACGGGTTAAACCCGGTAAATCCACGGAACTAGTTGCGCTCAGTTAAACTCCAAACGCCGCGCGCGTCATTCTCCGATGCGCACGCACCGTGCGCCTTTACGCGTAAACCGAACGCGTTCACTTTCCTTCAGAAATATGAATTGTTTGTTTACGCTATCCACTTAAAGTCCGGGGTTGTCAGATATGTAATCTTAATCGACGCTTGAATAAAACAGATCCACAAAAAATCCAACTCTGGGAAGCAAATGGCGAGTTTCCTGCGAGAGGGAAACCCGAAGAAAGCTCGCGTTTGTGTTCCTCTGTTTAATTCATAGCACATATTTCAAAGTTCTTTGTTTTGTTGTTGTTTTTTTCTCCCATTGTCCACTGGAAAAATGAAGCTACACAGCACACGGTTGTCAGAAAGCAGACGAAAGCCGGATTGCAGCCGCACTTTGTCCCGTTACGCGGCGTGTTGTGAAGGAGTTTCTGTGACGTCCGCTGCTGGAATTTGACTCCTTTCACTGATTCACACCAGAGCAAAACTCCCACGAGCTTCATACTGGGCTTGGCATCTGGACGCTTATGTCACTTACGATCTTTAAAACGTCTGAAAGTCATGACAAAATACCAAACCAAGTGGCATTTGTTGTAAAGAAAGTAAGATGCACAAGCAAAACAAAACATTTCACAAAACAGAAGTTTGTTAGGTTTGATTTAGCAATTGAAAGTGACATCTGAAATGGGTCCTTTGCTAGGACACCTGTGTGAACTTGAGGAGAACTGACTTCATATATCCACTAAAAATGACCAAATTAAACACCAGCTGATCAAAGACACTGAGCAAGAAAAGTATGCAGCATTTGAGACACACATATTACAGACACTTGATATTTTGACATTAAAAACATTTTCGCTTGTTGGTTAACTGTAACCGTAAAACATACATTGGAAAATTATTTTAGATTTAACACGACAATAAATGTACAAATCTATGCTATATATTCAACAATACGATAAAGTAATAAAATATTATTTTTTTCATACAATAGTAAAAATAGAAGTCAAAAGACATTCCCATAAAAGTCCCTGTGCTAACAAAAAAATGTTCTAAGAACGTTTTGCTAAAACATTATTCCTGAATGTTCAAAACGTCCATTTGAAAAATGTTTAAAAAATGATTTCTCATGGTTACACTCTAAAAAATGCTGGGTTAAATACAACCCAGTGCTGGGTAAAATAGGGACAAACCCAGCAATTGGGTTGTTTTGACCCAGCGGTTGGGTTAAATGTTTAACCCGACCTTCTGAATAGTAACCCAACCGCTGGGTCAAAACAGCCCAATTGCTGGGTTTGTCGCTATTTTACCCAGCACTGGGTTGTATTTAACCCAGCATTTTTTAGAGTGCACATGAACGTTCCATTTTATTATTTTGCAAACAGTATAGGAATGTTACTTTTGAATGTTCTCTGAACCGTCTGAATCTTAGATGAAGGTCCGACTACAATGTTCAAAGAAATGTGCAAACGTTTTGAGAACGTTACTAAAGACCAGATAACTCTATTAATGTTACTGGAAGAACGCTGCCAGAACGTTCTGACAACATTCACTGTTCTCTGGGTTATTATGTTGGTTATCAGTATATTTTAAGCTTCAAAGCAGATTTGAGCAGCTCAGGTTGTGTTTAACAGGTGTCTGGGTTGAAGCTGTAACTGGTTTTGCCTGAACTCTTTATATCATTTACATGAATGTTAAACTGAGAGGTTTTCATTCTGTTATCATGAAGTATGAACTGGAATAATCAGACATCTGATCCATTTGCCAAATGCAATCCCTGCTTGAATGTGTTCCTGTTGTGTCTTTCTGTCTCGCTCAGGCCCAGGGAGCAGCAGTGAGCGGACGAACAGAGCCGCTCTTTGTGTTGTGCTCTATAGCCAGTGGAAAGTCTCATTCGAGGCCTGTGTTTGTCTCATAATGGTTTAATTGAGCTAAACCACCCAGAGAGTCAGAATCAAAGTCTCTTACTGAAGCAGCTAAATCAAATTAACATCTGATCTCATGGCCCTTTAGGGCCCGGTGTGAACCACTGAACCAGTTCTTTTGCTGTCAATGTAAGTGATGTTTAAGAATATCTGACATTTTCCAGGTTACTCTAACACATGGTGTGAATATGATTATGAGGTATAAATATAATACTTTGACCTTTGACTTTTGCTGACACATACAAATCAAAGAATACTACCAGTTAAAAGTTAGTTTTTATTTATTATGACTGGTTTTCACATTTTATAATATTAGTAAAGTCATCAACTAAATGGAATAACACAAATGGCATAGTATAAATCAATGGAACTATGTAGTCACAACATTTTTTTTGTTTTATAATGTCTATATTCCAGCTTATTTACTTCAAAACATCATCCTGGCTTGAGACCTGAACACAGTTGTTATATCTACTCATCATACTGTAATATTTGAAGACCTGCATGATTGCTCCTGCTTGTGCAATTACTTGAATTAGCCACTATGCGTCAGTATTGTACAACTTGACGCAAAATCTCGAGCTCTCATAGGAAAGCTGTTGAAACGGTGCTCAGACAGAATACAGTAAACACTGAGAATATTACAGTCATCAACTATGTAAACAAATTTATGATTTTTAAAAAAATTATTTTTCATGTCCAGTCATGACCATTTTTCTTTTAGTTTTTGTATTTGTGATATATATCGAAGCCTTGTGTTCGCAAGTGAATCTTGTAATCGAACTTTAAATTCAACTACGTATTACGTTTTAATGTTACTTAATAAGTAACATTAAGTCCACTATTTTTAAAAGATTTTTAGATCAGAATATCACCTAAATCATTTTATTAATTTGAGATTTTTCAATAATTAAAAAAAAAAGTTTAATTGAATAAAACTGGCACAATATTGAATATTCCAGATGTTCCTTATTTTTTAAATATATCATTTAAACGTAACTACACATTTAATTCAAAATTAATTTATTGAATATTTCTGTGTCCTCAATATCACTTCCCATCTTTTAAAAATCCTTTCAACTAGAATTTTGGTGGGGAAAATATATTATATATTTATTTATAAAAAAAATTTCTGGAGTAAAAAATCTATTAACAATTGGGGTTTTTGAGAAATAAATAACTAACCACTTACTAAATAGTCACCCTAATGTGATCTGTTGAGATGTATCCAGGGAGCCAAGTTTGTACCAAAAAAAAACAGTTTTATTGTCAGTTCTGACGCTGTTTGATTTTTAAAATAACGGTAAACATGGTTATAACTTTCAGGCAGATTAGAAGGAAGGAACAAGATACAACTGCTGAAAACTGAAGAACTAGACGTGTTAACAACATGCAACCACTGAAACAAATACAGAGAGAAATGGGTCCTTAAACTAAAAATACTCTCACAATAATATGCCCGGTCTATTCGCAAAGTCCAACATGCACATGAAAGGACACACGTCGCATCTCGGTATCTCACACCATCGGGTCATCCCGTTCCAAATGTGTCGCCGCCCTGCTGGAGAACACGTCGGCTAGCATGTGTTTGGGAATCTCGGATCCGCGCACGCGTAGGGTGTAACAGGCGTCCTCCACCTTCCCCAGGCTCTGCCGCAGCGTGTGCAGTTTCTTAGACACCTCGTAGGGTCCCGTGTTGCCGATGTAGGAGAAGCCGTCGTGGATTTCCCGCAGGAAGCCGCTGAGCTGGAAGGGGGTGTCTATGTCGCCGTTGCCCACGCTGCTTATGCACATGCGCATCAACTCGCCCGTCAGGTCCGCTACACCCAGCAGGTAGTCGATCGGCGTTATCTGGAAGGTCAATACGCTCGGGCCGGCCCACACGACCTCACCTTCACCCTTCAGAGAAAGAGACGAGCAAACAATGAGTTTCTGCCAAAAATGGCTTTTGGATCACCAGTTTATAGTCTAGCTAATGAACGAACGGCTGATCGATCTAGCAGTGACCCTAGTTTTCAGTATGATCAATGGAGAGCTGCAGTGATGATGTATTTTTGTAGTTTTGGTGTGTTGAAGTCATGTTGGGAAATATCACATTTACGAGTTGAACGCACATGAACATCACCACAAGCTTGTAATTATGAATGGGAAACTCTGAACGTTCTGCAGGTTTTATGAAGGTAAATTTAGGCCTTTTTATGACCTTTCTAAGACCAAATAACAATACATTTAAAGGGATAGTATACCCAAAAATGAAAATGTTGTCACCGTTATGCTGTTCCAAACCTGTATGATTTTCTTTCTTCTGTTAAACACATAAGAAGATATTTTAAAGAACAACCAAACAGTTGAATCACATAGTCGTCGTCGTCCCCCCCCCTATACTATGGAAGTCAATGGCTACCACCAACTGTTTGGTTACCAACGTAAATATTTTCTTTTGTCTTCAGCAGAATAAGGAAACTCATTCAGGTTTAGAAAAACTTGAGTAAATGATGACAGAATTTTCATTTTTGGGTGAACTATCCCTACATCATACGTCAATATGGTCTCTTAATGTGAATGTCTTGAATTAGCAACACTTCACAGTTTGAGAATACAACTTCCAACATATCTCCATTACTTATTTTTTTTTTACTAATACACAGAAATAATTTTTACTGTACCTTCTGATCACACTGCAAAAAAGTGATGCTCTTCCTCTGTATTTTTGTCTCGTTTTCCAGTGCAAACGTCCAAAGATTTAAAATCAAGATGCATTTACTTGAGAAGAAAAACATGACATGAGATAATAAGTCTTGTTTTATGAGAACCTGATCAAAATGGGAGTTTATGGGTTAAATACAAACTTAATTCAAAGAGAAAACAAGTTAATGCAGTCAATGGCCCACTGACAGACATTTGTCCTTGTTTTAAACAAACTCATTCCATTTCTCAGAAAACAAGACTTCATATGTTCAAGTCAATGTAACTTGATTTAAGGATGTTTAGATAATTGTATTGGAAAACAAAACAAAAAAATAAATTTTTTCAGTGCATGGAATGCCATGACTTTATCAATTTAAAACTTTTCGCTCCTATTTAAGACCTTTTAAGGTCTGCAGAAACCCTGAGAAAGAAAACATGTTGAATGCAATGTCTATACTGACGATGAATTTGTTGAAATTAATGAATTTTTTCCTCCAACCAGATTGACTTTTAACCATAATATCCATTACACACACATTTTAACCATAATGTCAATTACAACTTCCCAACTCGTAAATACGAACTTCCCAGGAGGCCTTCAACGCACCATTAGCATCACTCTGATTCCCTCATCACAAAAATGTTCACAAATTAAATCAACTTTTATGGATTTTTGAGCTTAAATACCATCGTCAGAAATGAAAAGCATAGACTATAAATGAACTACACCAGAATCACATGACTTCATCACCACCATTAAGCTTCAATAACTCTTTAATAATAATAACTCCAATTGAAAGTTTGAGTTAGAATAGTATGCAAAAGCCTGATTATAAAGACTAGTAGAGTTTACCTGTTCGCTGTGATGAGGTTTAATGTCCCCAATAAACTCTGTTGTCCCATTTAGACACTTGTAAAAGCTTTAAAAGTCACGAGTGGGGAATTACTGATGTATTTTATGTCATAGAATATCTATGTGAAATATACGTGAAAATATTTTGAGCTTGTGTTCACCACAGACCTTACTTCAGGCATTTAACCAAAAACCCATTGACTTTGGGGCAAAGGAACCAAAAATGTGAACTTGCTTTTAGCCTACAAAAATACATCAACCCTACTGTATTCAAGAGTTTATTCACAAATAAAACACCTAGAAAACGGAGAATTCAAACTAGACCAATGCGTCTAAAAATATCTCAATTACAGAGATACGTGCAAAGCAGGCGGCCCTCACTGCTTTCTAAAAATTGCAGCAAAAGATGGGAGTGATTGCCAGCAATCTGATAAACCTGGTGAAACTGCTCTGGAGAACGTAGCCTGTCTGTTTTGGCAAGACAACATCAAGGAGGCCGTGGTTATATGCAGATGGATGCCTAATGTTGATTTTAGGACACAGTGGCATACCTTATTTTCTCTCATGAAGACCAGACGAGCGTTGATTTCCTCCAGGCTGATGAGCGTGCGATGTCTGATGAAGTGATGGAAGGACACGGCCTCAACATACTCCTGAATGCCTGAAAATAAAACAAGGACACTCTCTACATCATCAGGCTTCAGTCATGTGATGGTTCTCAAAGCCTTCATTTGATTATTTTAAAACACTTATTTCGTTTCAAGTACTTCAAAAAGCCCACGCTCATTTTATACCTCACAAGAGTGATCAATATGGCTAGTAAATCTCTGCGTATCTGCTAAATTTCATTTCGTAGTCTTAAACACTAAGTACAGAGCTTGTATACACTACTGTTTAAAATTTTGGGGTCAGATGATTTTTTTAGAGTCTCTTTTGTTAACCAAGGCTGCATTTATTTTATCAACAAAAACCGAAATATAGTGAAATATTATTCTAATTTAAAGTAACTGTTCTTCTATGTGAATATATTGTAAATGTAATTTATTCCTGTGATCAAAGCTTCATTACGGCAGTCTTCAGTGTCACGTGATCTTCAGAAATCGTTCTAATATGCTGATTTTGCTGCTCAAGAGACATTTCTGATTATTAGCAATCTTGAAAACAGTTGTGCTGCTTCATAATTTTATGGAAACTAGTTTATTTTTCAGGATGCTTTTAATGAATAGAAAGTTCAAAAGAACAACATTTAATTGAAATAGAAATCTTTTGTAACATTATAAATGTCTTTACTGTCACTTTTGAGTGCATCCTTGCTGAATAAAAGTATTTTTATGTGAATTTGTGCTGTCCCTTTAATTATTTATTGTCGTAACAACCTAGTTGTTCAGAATTTTGCTTGG